GAAAAAAAAATATATATATATGTATGTATATGTATGTATATAAAGGTATTTTAAACCCTTCCCACACCCTTGCAATATTCTAAACAATGTTTCTAATCTGTAAATGCTCTAAAAGAGCACAGCTTGTCATATCAGCTCTCTGCCTCAGCAACCTGCCAGCACTCTTGGACACGCCCACTTCTCCCCTGCAGAGCGGAGATCGACATGCTGCAGGCAGAAGCTTTTTCTGCAGCTGTGGGTTGCACACAGACTTGTGCAGCAGGTGCTAAATAATTTATTGTAAATAAAAAGTCCATGCCGATCATGCCACTTACTCATCAATCAGCCAATTGTGTCATGTCCACTCTTATTTTGAAAAACCGAGATAGTCCGTGAAAAACAAACCGTGAAGTAACGAGGGACTACTGTACTATGCAGATAAGCTGGGGAGTGGTGGCGCAAAGGTTAGAAAAGGTGGGCCTGTGATTGGAAGGTCGTCGGTTCAACTCCCTGGACCGACAACATCAAAATGTGAGTGGGATAGATGAATCACCCACACCTATCTCCACCCTTATTTGCCCCACTCTGGATCCATGAGCAAGGCCCTTAACCCGGGTGCCCTAGATATCAGCTCTGCTGCACACAGAGGGCTGTGGTTGTGTCAGGAAGAACATCCAGTCTTGCCAAGTTTTAGTACGAGTTAATTCGCTGTGGCGACCCCTGAAGAAGGGAGCAGCCGAAAGAAGAAGAAAAATGCAGAAATTTCATTTTGGCAGCCGTCATGAAAAAAGTCTGCCATTTTGGATTTTCAAATAGCCAATCAGACAGATCTGACAAATACCTCAAATAATCATCATATCAAATTTGTACTTGTATCACAATTTGCACAATTTTTCTTTTATCTGCTCTATAGTGTATGTTGTGAGCAACTGTCAGCTTCTACCACGCCGGGTTGTCAGTTGTAGAAGGACTTCCAACAATGACTATCTATAGAGTTTCATTAAAGTCTGCCGAGTGTTTCCAGAGATATTTTGTTAACAGACTCAATCAAAAACATCACCATCCTTTCCCCTTTAGTGTGAAGGGATGGATATGGAGAAATGAATTGTGAGGAGACGTTCTGAGGGATTTAACTGATGCAGGATGTGATTTGTTTCTTAAGTCACATGTGACATGTCTGTAAACTTTCTGAATGTATTCCTGGAAGGACGGCCTGAAAATGTGAACCTTTATCTCCGTTTGCAAACTGAACTTCTTCTCACGCTTTAATGCTGACTTGATTTTTATCATTCATGTGTTGAGGTAACCCTAAACAACTTGTATGTTTTAATTTTCATTTCTTTATGGCATTTTAAACAAACCTCTTTGCTTCCAGGATAAAGACTCATCACGTGCTCAGAAAATGATTGTCTGCAGAATAAGAGGGCAGAACAACACAATGTCATTGTCATTTTGTGGGTCAGAAAAACATCCCAGCATGTATGTATGTATGTATGTTTTATTTATTCATTTCATTTCATCCAAACAACAAATATAATACAATTTAAAGAAAAGAAAAAAGATATACAATCACCGAAATAAAATGAAAGGCAGCAGAAGAATGAATTCTTATAATATCTGCCCCTTGTCCCCAAAATATATTCCAAACAAAATTACTATACAAAAGCAAGATGAATTTATAAAAAAAAAAAAAACTTAGCTAAAATATAAGATCAACTGTAAACAATTTTTATGAACTCACATTATACTTAATATTTTTTTTAAAAACAAATTTTTATCATCCTCTTGAATATGTACATAGTTTTGGCATTTTTAATATCAACCTCCAGATCATTCCACAATCTAATACCCTGAGATATAGTGGATCACATCTTCAGACTGGTGCGACACCACGGCTTCACAAACATCTCCATC